TGGCTAGCCTGAAATAACCGATCTATTTAGAGGTTTGAAGACCAGGCAGCAGAGGCTAAATAAGGTAAAGTGTCTGTTAAGAGTGGAGGCCCAGGGAAGAGAATAGAATATTAAAAAACTCATGGTTCATGTCATGTTTTCCTTTGCCCGAGGCTCTTTTAAAAGTATGCTGCAAATAGAAGTCATTGCTGTCCTCACCTTAGAATACAGAATTGTGATACAAGACCAGATGAAACACACACACTATAAATATCAATACAAATATAGATTTAAATATAAATACAAATTTAAATATAAACATAAACATATAGCATATACATATTTTTGGTTTCTGAGCTACAACTAAACAGCTTCGGAAAAAGTAGGTTGATTAGACGTAATTTGGGGGAAAATGGAGAATGCTTAGTCAAAACTTCAGATTATAGGTATAAGGATTCAGGGATTTCTCCTATGGAATGTTCAATTTTTAGTAATCATAGTGGCTGTCACTTACATAGCCCCTGTTATGTGTCAGGAACTGGGCTGGCCCCTTCCCACACTGTTTACACTTAATCATCACAATCCTAGTTTCCATTTTTTCATATATTGGTGAACAGGTAGAGGTTCAGAGAGATTAAGCAACTCACCCAAGGTCACACAGCGGGTAAGCAGCAGAACCAGGATTTGAACTAAGACTACAGAATGTAAGGTGCCCAAGGGTAGGAAAGCTGTGTTTGCCAGTGTGTTACCCGATGCCCAGAATGGAGCTAGTCATCGCAAGGGCGCAATGAACGCTGAAATGAAAAATGAATGAGTGAATAAATGAATAAATGAACAGCTTTAACTCTTGTATTCTCAGCAGTGCTGTTAAACTTCCTTCTCACTTTGCTCTGCACCTGCCAGCATCATGCTCTTTGCATCTGAGTGACATAAGGCATTAGGATTGAGTCCTCTCTGCCTCTGAGGTAGAAGAAATCAGACGTAGGTGTGTTCTCACCTCCTTTTATTAATCTTTGGTGGGACGCAGTGGAGGGTGGTGAAGGAAGAGCCTGGCTGTGTGTTTGCTATCTGTATGAACTGATCAGGGTGGAAAGTGCGGCTAGAAGGGCAGGTCCACTCTGGGCACGACTGCCAGCACGTTCGCACACGTGTTACCATTTCTGCTCTTGTGGAGAGAGCTGAGGGCTCTGGACCTGCAGTGTCTGCTAACCTCAAGGGAGGGAAAGAGGAAATGACGGGCAGCTTCCATGGCAAGAAAGAAAAGCAGAAATTCAGTAAGAAACAGAAGTTCCCTGCCAGTGCCTTGTTTCAGTTGTCAAACCTGAACTGAAAGTCAGTGGGGTGTCCTAAAAATCTCACGGCACTGGAAATCAGGAGATGGGGGTGGGGGTGGGGGTGGGGTGGGGTCTCCTCCCTGCTTTGTCATTGACTTGGATAAGTCATTTTTCTGCTTTGGATTTTAGTTGCCTTATCTCTAAAATAAACAATTTAGACTAAAACCCTGCCTTCAGGCATTTAGAATGATGGGTGTGTGTGTTGTGGGGCGGGGCGGGGGGGGTGCGGTATTTTTGGTGGCTGTAATGATTGACGACTAGCATGGATGTGTGTGTTGTGGCGGGTGGAGCAGGGATGCTAAATGTATTCAGTGCTTAAGACCACACAATGAGAAACTGTCCCACTTAGAATCTGGAATGATAATTATGAACCGCTTCATTGCTAAAATACTGTGATTCTATTCTAGCTACACTGATTTGAATCATCCAAGTCACATGACTGAAAAGAAATGAGATTCTGTGTAAAAGAAATCAGAAGTAACGGATATTATGTATTTCTAAATGCCTGCCAGTGTACCTTTGGTGAAGGTCACCACAGTTTCTTTACCTGGAGTGCATCTCTCACCATTGTGCCAGGACGCAGGAGGGAGCTGGCCCTGCACGGGAAATGTCCTAGGCAGTTGCTACCAGACAGGAAGGGTAAGCCAAAAGCCCTTTCTGGCACTGCAGGAACGCCCCTCCTCTAGAAGGCTGGGATTGGAGTGGGTGCCGGGTCAGTGGCAGAGAAAGGGCTGAGAGAGGCAGCCAGGGTAACGAGCCTGAGAACACCACTTTCTTTCAGGATGGTGGGGGGGAGGGGAGGGTTTCCACCTGGAGGGGAGGAAGGAGCTGAAGTGCTCAGAGAGCGGTGGTCTGGGGTTGACAAGGGGCTTACAAACAGGAAGCTAAAGGCACAGACTTCAGCTGTGGGTTGTCTATAAGAAGTGGAACCAAATACTCCTCAGCAGATACTTGTGAGGGACTCACACAGCACTGCTACCCCCCAGAAAGCCAGTGAATTTCCACAGGTGGGACGCTTCCTCCCCCACCACCCAGAGCAGGTTAAGCTTTCCCCCATATCCAGATGCTGTCTTGGTTGATGTTTTATTGAGATACAGCATACTCCCAGAGAATTATCCAGATCCTAAGTGCATAGTTTGATGAATGTTTACCCACATAGACACCTATGTACCCACCATGCAAATTAAGATACAGTCCATGTCAGCACCCAAGACAACTCTCTTGTGCTTCCTCCCAGGCTGTGAGCCCTGCCAAAGATAATCACTTTTTTTTTTTTTTTAAGATTTTATTTATTTTTTTGACAGAGAGAGACACAGCGAGAGAAGGAACACAAGCAGGGGGAGTGGGAGAGGGAGAAGCAGGCTTCCCGCTGAGCAGGAAGCCCGACGTGGGGCTCGATCCCAGGACCCTGGGATCATGACCTGAGCCGAAGGCAGACGCTTAACGACTGAGCCACCCAGGCGCCCAAAAGATAATCACTTTTTAACTTGACTACCAGAGCGTAGTCTTTGAACCTCACGTCAGTAGAATCATACAGTGTGTGGTGTTTGTTGCCTGACTTTCTTCATTCAGTATTCATCCACTGGAGATTCATCCATGCCCTTGCATTAAGAGTTCCATTTTTCTCCACTGCTGAGGACTATTCCATTGTATGATTATGCCACAATGTATTTGTTCATTCTACTGTGGAAGGACATTTGGGTTGGTGAGAGATGCCAGCCTGAGAAAGAGTAAGGAGTATGGAAGCCTCTCAAGATGAGAAAACAGGCTGTTTAGGGACTTTGAACCTGAAAGAGACCATTTTAAGCTAAAGAAGCAGAATGACCTTCAGTCATCAAGTTTACATTTTGCCTTACTATTAAACACCAACAACTTGGAAGAGATATATTTGAGAGGTGGTACATTAAAAACAGGACGAGTTCAGAGGAAACTATTCAGAAGATGTGGAAAATCTGAGTGAACACCTCCACTGGGGGAGCAGAGCTGGGCTCAGAGAGGACTCTGACAGAATTGAAATCAGCGGTGCAACAGTTGTCGAAAAAAACATGAGCCTAATTCAGAAAGGTGCACGGTTAGTCACCCTGCAGTGGTCAGGGGCTGTTCTAGTTGTTCTGACTAATTTCCACTTGTTTCTCTCAAGAAAAGTGGGAGGTACTTGGGGGGGGGTCTCAAATCAAATAATCTCAATGATTTAAGAAATGAAAAATGAGCCCAGGGTGAAAAAGCTAATGGAGTTAGGGTTGTTGCTTTAACGAAAGACCTTGCTATCTGTAGAATGGGTATTTCAGTCCGGGAAGGGAAGTGTTGACATCCTTTGCAGTAAAGGAGGCTTAGCTCTCCCCGGATGCCTTGATACACATGATTGGATGGTAAGAAGAGGACACGGGTGAGAGCTGCGTATCTTCCCCTCTGTGGTATGCATGCTGGGTCCACAAACGCTGCGGCCCCCACTTCCCTCTGGCACACAGTAGCACTGTCCTTTCCTGCCCACTTGACGATCAGCACAGTCATGGGACTGCCTTCGCTGATGACCTTTGAGCAGAAGTGACATGTTTGAAGCAGAAGCTTTATGAGCCGGTGTGCTTGTTTCTCCAGAGACTTGGTCCCCTCTGCCATGGTTCCAGGTAGTGGGCTCCAGAGGGAGCAAGACCCCCAGCCCACCCTCGACCACATGTTTGTGGATGAGAAGTACACTGCTCTGCCTTCAAGCCATGAAGATGATTTGTTACCACAGCATAAGCTAGCCTCTCCTGAACGATGAAGTTGCTTCCCAGAGTCCCTGAAAATGGTCACTTGATGTGCTCCTATGAATGTGGCCTCTTACACCCAGCTATAAGCCACGGGCCTCTGAGCAAAGGCCAGCCCACCGATTCTTTCTCAGGAATCGGAATGCCAAGGGATAACAGGGACAATTGGCACTCCATAGTAGAAGCTACAGCTAAGAGGGTATGAAGGATAGTCCAGACGTTGGGCCATGTTGGGCCAAGGACAAGGCGAATGCAAGACAGCCGCCCAGTAACGGGGAGTGGCAAATGGAGGGACTGAGCTGAGAAAAGGAAACTGAGAAAGGAGGTACAGCCCCCAAATAGTCCCGATTTTGACTTTCCAGTTCATTCCTATAGGGCTGGTTGTGCTTTGTTTCCTGTTTTTAGTTTCTGTGAGATCCCTGTAGACTAACACTGACTCCCAAACACACACCCCCTTTGCTCGCTTGAACCAGTCCAGGGTGCTTCTGTGCTTTCCAACAAGAACCCTAACGAGAACAAAGTGGAAGCTGCAGCAGGAAGTTACTAGTAGTTGTTAATGCTGGCTAACACTTACTGTGCTTCAGGCACTGTTGCAGGTGCTTCATGGGTATTAGCCCGTCTCACTCCAACAGCAACGTTATGGGATACATACTCTCAGCATTCTCTCTTTTACAGATAAGGAAACTGAGGCACGGAGGGGTTGAGTGCCTGTTCCCATACCACATTGCTACTAAGTGCTGTCTGATTTTAGATTCCACACTTTAAACCACTATGCTATAATGAACTTTTTTTTTTTTAAGATTTTATTTATTTATTTGACAGAGGGAGGCACAGCGAGAGAGGGAACACAAGCAGGCGGAGCGGGAGAGGGAGAAGCAGGCTTCCCGCAGAGCAGGGAGCCTGATGTGGGGCTCGATCGCAGGACCCTGAGATCATGACCTGAGCCAAAGGCAGACGCTTAACGACTGAGCCACCCAGGCGCCCCGCTATAATGAACTTCTGAATGCCGTTGGTGATGTTTTGTTAGGTAAGATGTTTTTGAAATTCTGCTTCAGCATGTTTAAAGTTAAAATGATTGTTATTTATTTCATTTTATTTTATTACTTTATTTATTTATTTTTTAAAAGATTTATTTATCTGAGAGAGGGAGAGAGCGTGAGCACCAGGGGTAGGGGTAGAGGGAGAGGAACAGAGACAATCCCAAGCAGACTCCCTGTCCAGCGCAGAGCCTGAGGCGGGGCTCCATCCCACAACCCTGATAGCAGAAACCAAGAGTCAGGTGCTCAACCAACTGTGCCACTCAGGTACCCCTACTGTTATTTATTTTAGGTGTGACAAGGATATTTTTAAATGAAGTATTGTCTTTAGAAATGCATACTAAAATGTTTACAGATAAAACGCATGTCTGGGATTTGCTTCGGTAATGAGAGGGAGCCGGGAGTGGGTAGATGGCAATATAGATAATCCATGATTAGATATGAGTTGGTCATTGTTGAAGCTGGAAGGTGGATACATGGGGATCATTATGTTATTCTCTCTGCTTTTTTATGTGTCTGAAATTTTCCATAATAAAATATAAAAAACCAACCAACCAACAAACATACAAGAAGGCCTGGAAGAGACTGCAGTTGGCACAAAATTTAAAGGCCACTTTTTATCTTATCTATGCTATTTTCCTTTTAGAGCAGGGTTCTCAAACTATGACCAGTGGTCCAAATGTTTCTGTATAGCTTATAAGCTATGAATGGTTTTTATTAATTGAAAAAGTGCCCACTGCATGAAATTCAAAGTTTAGTGTTGATAAATAAAGTTTTATTGGAACATAGCCCTGCCCATTTGTTTATATCTTACCTGTGGTAGCTTGCACACTACAGAATTGAGTTGCTGTATTGGAGACCCCATGGGCCACAAAACTAAAATATTTACTGTATAGCCCTTTATAGAAAAAGTTTGCTGGCCCGCTTCTAGAAGGGGATTTATTCATGCATAACTTTGTTTTTAAAAACCAATAAAAAGAAAAACAATATTTTCTTTTTTTTTTTAATTAGGAAAGTAATACAAGACCATTGTAGACAATGTGGAACATACCAGAGTAAGAGAAAGAAAATGAAAATTATCCACTGGGCACCCATTTCTAAAATCTTCCCTCTTCCCTCTCATTGACCAACTATTGACAAAATGAAAACTGCTCTGGTTTCAGGAAAAAGTAAGGATTGTCTTTCTGGGGCTCGGTTGGACAAGAACGGCAAGAAAACATATGCCGTTACAGGGAGACACCTGAAAGGTTCTGAAAGAGGCCACCTGGGATCTTGTTAGATTTAAATTGTACGATAACCTTCCCATCACATCTCTAAACTCCCGTATAAATAAAGCCTAGTGGGAGGGCCTTGTAGTGAACATTCAACATAGCAGAGAGCACTGATACTCAGGGTGTGAATCCAGTTAACAAGCTCCTGGGGAAAAAAAATAACAACCTTTATTATGTTTTATTTATTTTTTAGAGATATCATTTTTTTAAGTAATCTCTACACCCGACGTGGGGCTCGAACCCACAACCCCAAGATCAAGAGTCGCATGCTCCACTGACTCAGCCAGCCCCCCCCCAAAATAACAACCTTTAAAACTGACTTAGGCCATGTTCCAGCAGCGCACTAGCCAAAAGGTAGAAGCCACCCAAATGTCCATCAATGGATGCTTGGACAACAAAACGTGGTATAAACACGCAATGGAATGCGAATTCAGCCATAAAATGGAAGGAAATTCTGGCACATGCTACAACGTGGATGAACCTTGAGGACATGATACGAAGTAAAAAGCTAGTCATAAAAGGCGAAAGATGTATGCGATCTGAAGAGAAATCTGAAGTGTGATCCCACTTCTAGGAGGTATCTACAGTAGTCAGATTAGTAGAGAAAGCAAGTAGAACAGTGCTTCCTGGGCCTGGAGGGAGGAGGCAATAGGAGCCACTGTTGATGGGGACGGAGTTCCAGTGTGGGAAGATGAAAAAGCTTTAGAGCTGCTGCTGGTGGTGGATGCACAACCGTGTGAATGTACTTAATGCCACTGAACTATCCACTTAAAAATGGTTTAAATGGTAACTTTCACGCTAGGTGTGTTCTACTACAAGTCTCAAAAAATGACTTAAATTTCAAGCAGTTGAAAAGTGGTAATAATAGGCAAAGAAGCTAAATCTTAGCAGCAAAGAGATCAATTAACTGAAAAAAAAAGTCTTAAGGCTGCATGGTTAATATAATGCTTGAAGGTGCTTACTAATGAGATGATGTGGAGTTTCTGGGCTGGCCTTGAGAGTTTGCTTTCTGTGTTGGAAGGTCCAGGAATAGGTCTGCCTGGGAAATCGGAAACTTGATTCTTCCAGTTCAGTTCGTTTTATACTAATGCCAAGAGAACGGTCTAAAGGAAAAGTCCGAGCTGTATTAGTGGTATCACCAGGGATCGGACTTTTCATTATTTGCATGCTGCACTTACAAGCCTGATTTCAGTAAAATGTGCTCAGTTTCTAATAACCCACCAGGATTGTGGCCATCGCCCCCACCATTTAAGGACTGAGTGTTGGCCGGAGCTTCTGGGCAGTTTGCAGCTCCCCTGAGCCACCAAGCGTGTGCACCCCACCCCTGCGAATGACGGTATGGTCAGATGAGCTAAGCAGGCACGCTGTAAAGACCCAGTGTCTGGTTTTCCATGGGAAAGCCCGGGAGAATGGGATGAGTTGCTATCATCCATCACAAATACCAAGTTATACCCCAGTCATCATTTGGAGTGGAAAAGATCTTCCCAGATGGTGATGAAGAGCAGCCGTTGACCATACCTGATGTGAAGCTGTGGGACCAGACGCCAGTGACGGTTTGACCAAAAGTGACTCTTGGCGAGTCCTGCCTCCATCCTAGGATAGTGGGACATGTTATGTAAGGCCAGCGTTCTTTCTGATTCATCCATTGGATCATTCTGATTCGTGAATGCCCAGCTTGGACAGTTGTTAAATATTTTTTAAAAAATCACTCAGCCGAATCCGTGTTTGCTGGCAGCCTCCCGTATCTGAGGGACACTAGGGTTAAATTTTCTGATAACTTGGCTTTTAAAAAGTGGAGTGGCCATTTAACCAACCTCTCATTCCCTCACACTTGGGGCTTTTGAAATGTGTTTTTCATTGGGTTTTGTCTGAAATATCAAAAGGGTAAGATCACTAGGAGTGGATAACTAGAGCCTCAAAAAGAGTAAAAACAACAATTTACTGAATCTACTATTTATTGGTGACTTTACATTTGTTATTCCTAATTGCCACATGAAGAGTTAGGTCTGTTTCTTATTTTACTTACTATAGGAGCCAAGGCTGAGAGAAGCAAAGTGACTTGCGAAAGGTCATTCGTCTAGTAAGCGGCAAACCCCACATTCAAATATAGCACTACAGTATTTTGTCTCACATTTGGGTAATCCATGTATAACACTTCGCTGACATGGTGGACCTCTGTGGTTTTTGCCCCTCAACGTATGCATCCCAATCACCTTTCTTCTGCTAACAGTACATTGATATTCCTCTGGGGTACTATCTTCTCCCCAATTCTCATTCCAGGTGTTTGGGAGGGGGGTCATGTAACTCGAACCTGGGCAATCAGTTCATGGTATTTTCCTGACTACAGTGACTAACTCATTCATTCAACAAATATTTTTTAAAGATTTATTGATTTATTTTAGAGAGAGAGAGTGTGCGCACGCACCCGTGTGTGTGGGGGGGGGCAGAGGGAGAGGGACAGAGAGAATCTCTAGCGGACTCCCCACTGAGTGCAGACCCCCAAAGCTGGGCTTGATCCAAGGACCCTGAGATCATGACATGAGCCAAAATCCAGAGTCTCACCTCAACCGACTGAGCCACCCAGGTGCCCCTCAATTCGACAAATATTTATTAAGAGGAGTTGGGACATAGAGCAGGGATCAAGACGGTGAGGATGCTGCTCCAGGGGAGCTTATTTTCTAGTGGGGGCAGGCAGATAATAAACAAGTAGCAAATAGCATAATTTCAATTGATAATAAGTGTTTAAAAAAAACATAAAACAGAGTAATGGGACTATAAGAGTAACAAGGAGTGGAGATGGACTCTTTTCAAGAGGGTGGCTAGGGTCGATGGGAGGCAGTGGCACTTGTGTTGGGTCACATTTCCACCTGACTTGACCTTGGAAGGGCACGTGGCCCCCAGACTGCTGGCAGCCATCTTGCCCATCCTTGGAGCCGGAGACTAAAGCCAGTGTGGGGAAAGGATGGAGAAGGGGGGAGAGAGAGAGAGAGAGAGAGGGTTCTGAGGATCTCTTGAAACCTCTGAATCATGCTATAAGTGAAGTGAGACCTGCTCCCTAAACTTGTGTGCAAGGGGAGCCTATAAATTATTTTTCTTGAGAGGGTTTGGTCATTTTATGTTTTCTGTTTCTTGCACCAGAAAGAATCTTATGTTGTACAGCGCATGTTCAGACTCATCACTGCCTGGCACATGAACCTCCTTCACTACTGGCAGATGTGAGTAAATTTTGGATAGATAAGCAGATGGCCAAATAGATAGATGATAGCTAGAGAGCTTATAGGCTATTGATACAGAAAAGTTACAAGTCACTAATTATCCATGCATGGAGAAAAGGATCAGAAAAATACACCCTCAACTCTTCACATAGTTAACACTCTAGGATGAGAGGTGGGGGATTTCACTTTTTAATTATTAACTGCTAGAATGTTTCCATTTAAAAGCAAGCGTGCATCACTTTTAATATTTAAAAAACTGCAGATCTGGAAGGGTGTGGACAGAGAAACCTGTGGAATGGTAGTGAACTGGGCCCCCAACAACATGCCCATAGCATGTAAAATGAGGTATTGGAGGGCTGTTACTCTGCGTAGCTGCCAAGAGGGGCTATTCTTGGGGCTACTGAGCAAAGAAGGGGCTGCCTTGCTTTCTTTCCTACAGAGCTTCCCAACATTTTTCTTGTCCTGTAAGGACAGCTGAAAGATGATAATGTCTGTATGGCTCATAGGATAAAAAATAAGGCCACACGAATCCAGAAGTTTTTTCCTAGGCACTGTGTTGACCCCAGACCCTGCCTAATTCTCCTAAGAGCTGAGGAGATCAATTTCTTTACATGGAACCCATTCACTGAGCAACAGCCAGCCATGGTTATCAGACAGAGGCTTTTTCTACTGAAAACCCATGATCCCTCGGGGCACCTGGCTAGTTCAGTTGGCAGAGCATGTGACTCTTGATCTCAGGGTTATGAGTTTGAGCCCCATGTTGGGCACAGAGTTTACTTTAAAAAAACAAAGCAGGATTCTTAAAGTGCTTCTCCTTCATGCCTAAGGAATTTTATCTATCTCAAAGTTCAGAACCTTGACTAGCATTGTTACAGATGTTTATTTTGGTTTTAAAATACTCAGAACTTATGAGGTACCTGGCCAGTTCTGTCAGCGGAATGTGTGACTCTGGATCTCGGGGATGTGGGTTCGAGCCCCAGGCTGGGTATAGAGATCACTTTAAAAATGAAATCTTTAGGGGCACCTGGGTGGCTCAGTCAGTTAAGTGTCCACCTCCTGATTTCGGCTAGGGTCATGATCTCAGGGTCGTGGGATCAAGCCCTGTTTTGGGCTGCATGCTGGGCATTGAGACAGCTTAAGATTTTCTCTCTCCTTCTCCCTCGGCCCCTCCCCCCACCCCACTTGTGCATGCTCTCTCTCTTTCTCAAAAAAAAAAAATTAAGTAAATAAAATAAAATCTTTAAGAAATAAGATAAAATATTCATAGAACCTATAATTATACTCTTATTGTGCCTGAATTTTGCTTGCTTTCTCTTTAGTAGATTTCTTTTTAGAGAACAACTTCGGCAATCGTTTTGGGATATCCTTTCTCTTGGATACTTCCATTAGATCATGGATCATTCCTAAATCATAATCCTGGGTGAATGCTGTTTCTTAGAGGAGGACAAAGTCCCACATAGATTCCAGCTTTGCTGTTTAAAGTAAGGAACAAAATTTTATGGCAATCTTGTCAGAAAACTCTTGAAAATTCTATGATAGAATCAGTCCTCATCATTGCTCCTTTCACCTTAGGAAAAAAATAATTACTTCTCTATAGCAGATTGCATTTGGACCCAAATAAATTGTGTGCTAAAGCCTTCTAAAGCTGTAGCTACTGAAACATTTCCCCTTGCAATTGGACTTTTTTATTTAATCGCTTTGCCCAGAGAAAATGAAAAAGCAAACTCCAAACTAGGGAAGGTTGAATAATCACAAATTCCAACTTTAAGGAATCTGAATTAATGAGATTTCATGGGATTTTTCTTGCCAAGAAAGAACTACCACCTTCCTCCCATGGGTCTGTGATGCTTATAACTTTACTTACAGGCTTACAATATCACTCCCTAGAGAAGGAATTATGGTCAGACTTTAATTTGGATCAACAGATAAAATTAGAAAATCTCTTGAGGGAAATGTCATTCATTATTTACAAATGTACATAATTAAAGGAAGAAGTTATATACAGAGGAAAGACTGTAGTGTCTGTAGAGCAAAGCCTTAAGTATAAGTAGAATTCCCTGGAATCTCACCAGGTGCAGGCCTGAAACAGATTAATTTAAAGTCTACAACTTGGGGACACCTGGCTGGCTCAGTTGGTAGAGCATGTGACGCTTGAGCTCAGGGTTGTGAGTCCAAGCCCCACATGGGTGTGGAGGCTACGTAAAAAAATAAAAATAAAATAAATAAAGTATACAATTTGGAAAAAAAAGTAGCTTGAGGTATATACACTAAACTATTATCTGTGTTTTTCTCTGTGGCTTGGGGAGAGAGGTGGTTATTAAGGAATAGTTTAACTTGATAGAAGAGATTGCTTGTGTTTGGTTATTTAGATAATAAATACAGCAGATATTGATTAGGCTTTTTGGCCACCCAGCAACTAGAACACCTTTCCTATATTTGTAGAATTTCTCATCTTATGAGTCTGAATATGCCTAAGCCAGAAACTCATTTTCTGAACCTCCTTTGTAACTAGGTGTAGTAATCAGAGTTTTCCAGAGAAACAGAACCAACAGGATAATATATATTATATATGTAGATGTAGCTATAAATATAGATATATCTATAGATATAACTATCAGTATATCTATCTATCTATCGAGAGAGAGAGAGGAAGGAAGGAAGAGAAGGAGAGAGTTTAAGGAATTGGCTCACATGATTATGGATACCCAGGGAAGAGTCAATGTTGCAATTCAAGTCCCAAGGCCATCTGCTGGCAGGGTTGTTTCTTGCTTGGGGGAGGTCAGTCTTTTGGTCTATTCAGACCCTCAACTGATTAGATGAGAACCACCTCCACGTTGTGGAGGACAATCTGATTTAATCAGACACCTCTGATTTAAATGTTTATCTCATCCAAAAAACACTCTCACAGAAAAATCCAAAGTAATGTTGACCAAATATGTGGGCACTGTGACCCAGCCAAGTTAACACATAAAATTACCCATCACAATAAAATATAGACATTTGACCTAACCCCTACACAGGCTTTGGTTTGGAAGTAAGGGCGTGTAAAATCCATTCTTCATGTAGGGTGGTGGTGAAGACATCCAGCTTACATAGGCAGGATGGCAGCAGTCCCAGTGGCATCGCCTTTTTGCTAGAGTATATGGGGGTCTGTGCTAGCAATGGCAGCAGAAGGGTCTCCACAGGAGGGGTCAGAGCTTTGTTAAATCAAGTCTCATTCTTTAGTCTTCCCAGGAATTCAGTGAACTACCTAGCTCCTTAAATACATTCCTCTTCTGTTTAAACTAGCTGGGGTGGATTCTGTTGTTTGCAGCTAAGACCTCTGAAATTCAATAAGCATGTTGTATTAATTGTTACTGCCTAACAAATTACCCCAGAACTTAATGGCTTAAAACAATAATACACATTTAGTATAGCCTGCATTATGTGCAGGTCAAGAATTTGGCAGTAGCTTGGCTGGGTGGTTCCGGCCCAGGGTCTCTCATGAGGCTGCAGTGGTTTTGTTGGTCAGCACCCTCGTCATCTGAAGGCTTGACTGGGGCTGGAGGATCTACTTTCTAGATGGCTTATTCACATGGCTGGCCAGTTGGTGCTGACTGTTGGCAAGAAGACTCCGTTCCTCTTGTGTGGACCTCTGCGTACAGCTTCTTGAGTGTTCTCACAGCATGTAGGCTGTCTTTCTCCAGAGACAGTGATCCAAGAGAGAAAGGTAGATGCCACAGTGCTTTTTATGACTTTGGCTATGTGAAATCACATGCTATCAATCCACCCCATTCTATTTGTTACAAGAAAGTCACTAGGTCCAGCTCTATACAAAAGGAGAAAAATTCCTTTCTACTTTTTGAAGCGGAAGGCGGCGGGGGGGGGATGCAAAAGAATCTGTAGATGTATTTTTAAATTTTCTGTGGTAGCCAGGTTTGAGATGGTCCCCCAATCTCATCTCCTGATATTCACACCCTTGTGTATTTGTTCTATTCTCTGTCACAGTTGTTCTCTTTGACCAGCGGCCTATGGAGGAGTGATGATGTGTCACTTCTGAAATTAAGATATAAAAAGCTCCAACCTCTTTTGCTCTCTTTCTTTCTCCCTGCCTCCCTTGCTCTGGAGGAAGCAAGCGACCATGCTGTGCACAGCCTTATGGAGTGGTCCATGAACTGGAGCCTCCAGCTACCAGCCAGCAAGAAACTGAGGCCAGCCAACAGCTGTATGAGCAAGCTGGAAACATCCTCCCGTCCTCACTGAGCCTTCATGAGACTACAGATACAGGTGACAGTTTGTACCCTCATGAGACCTCTTGAGACCTTGAGCCAGAAGCATTCGGCTAAGCTGCTCCTGGATTCCTGACCCGTAGAACCTTTGGGAGATAATGTTTGTGGCTTTAAGTTGCTGATGTTTTGGGGTGATTTTTTTATGCAGCAGTAGATAACTAATACTTCACCGGACATGTAGCACTATTTTTTCCGCAGAGGAAATAAAGGTTTGTGTGTGAGTATGTGTGTGTGGTGAGTGTGTGTGTGTGTGTGTGTGTGCCTCGGAAAGAGAGTGAGAGAATAAAATATAGCTCTACTTAAGTCAGCAAAGGCAGACATGTCTATCTTTCAGTCCTCACCGAGTATTCTGATGTTTCCCTAACCACTTGGAAATTCTCAATTAAATCTTAAGTTGAAATTGTTCTCTTTTAGGGCTGGAGGCTGCTGCTTACCAAGCTGTAAATTGCCACCAAGATTGTGTCAAGCAGAGGCACCTGGGTGGGTCAGTTGGTTAAGTGTCTGCCTTTGGCTCAGGTCATGATCCCAGGGTCCTGGGATTGAGCCCTGCATCGGGCTCCCTGCTCAGCAGAGAGCCTGCTTCTCCCTCTCCCTCTGCCTGCCACTCCCCCTGCTGATGCTCTCTCTATCTCTCACTATCTCTCTCTCTCTCTCTGTGTGTCAAATAAATAAATAAAATCTTAAAAAAAATCATTTATTGAAAAAAAAAAAAAAGATGTGTCAAGCAGGGCCTGGGCAGCCCCTCCCTCAAAATGGTGGGTTGGGGTCTTATTGGGCTCCAATGTATATTAACAGGCTCTATGCTTCAAAAGTAGCAATGATTCTTCTTTTAACTTCTAGTTAGCATTATTGCTTTAGGAAGTCTGTAGTTACAGACTATAACAAGTACTTTGTGGATAATTCATCATATTTTTAGATTTAATAACAAAAACATATGTACAATCTACATTTTTTTCAGTTATTCAAGATAATACAGCATCCATTTGTTTCAATGAACATGAGATGAGAACCACCTGGTGCCCACACCGGCCCAGGCCTGGGACACGGGCTTTAAATGTCCTCACACTGCAGGAAGAGAGCACATGCCTTTGGGGCCGCCGTAACACAATGACAGGAATGCTAAAGCCCTCCTCTTCCGTTTGGTGAAAAAGCCAGCAGTCTGTCTCCAAGGAGCCCCACAGGGTGACTTGTGAATTCACCCAGGTTCAGGTTCTGGTCATAGAGCTTTGTAGGCAGCACACCCAGAGCAATCTGTGCCCCAGGGAAAATCTATTAACCACCCTCATGAGACTCTTGCATAAACCAGAAGGTCAGTTTATTAATTTACAATGAAAATTCTAACTATCACAGGGATCAGGACACTCCTGTTTGCCTGTCAAGCCTTCCTCCCTCCTCCTGGCCTCTCCTCTTCCCTTACTTCCATCCCTGCTCTGATGAATACTTAGTGAGCATGTCCCGTGAGCCAGGCACAGGGCTGAGAGCTGGAGGAACAGTGACAGATCAAAGCAACAGAGTTCCTGCCCTCGGTCTGAGAGATAGAAGGAAATCCTAATTGAAACACTCACACAGATGAATGTCAGGTCCCTTTGTTTTTCGTGGAGCCCTTTGAGATTATAATGACCAGGAAGGTTCCTGTCCTCAGGACAATGGGCACTCTCAAACACACACAACATGGCGCACACAACTTCAGGGGATTCTCAGTTACCCTTAAACCCATCTGGGGATGTGGGGTGCAGAATATCCCCCTCTGTTGGCAGAACTACATGGGAAGCAGCCAAGTCATACCCAGAAGTTGGCTTTGAGATCATGGAGTTGAAACAAGGGTGTTATTGAGCTGAATTGAATTGTTCGAGGGCATTAGGCTAAGATTGCCCACATGTCATAAATGGCTTTGCCACTTGAGATACTCCCTCCATTGGAGGTCTCCCCCAACCTGGAGCAGTGCCTGAATGGAGTCCTGTCAGCATTAACCTCTTTTCTCTAAGTGAACAAAGCTGACCAAATCCCACTTGGTTGACTAGTCTCTCTTTAGATTGGCCAATACCTTGATCCACCGAGAGCCAACATACCTAGCCTTGGAGCGATACAGTGGCCTTCAGAGGACTCCACATATCCTGTCTCTGATCCATCATGAATAGGTTTAAAGCTTAACTTCGGTGGAGAGCTGTATCTTTCTTGCAAGTTCTTAGAAGCCATAGTGTTTTGGGCCCCAGCAACTTCCAGCTGGTTTTTTCCAAGAGCATCTGGAACATAAGAAAAGGCAGACACCTGGCTCATCAAAAACCTCTCCAGCCTAACTTTATTCTCTCCACAAGATAAAGCAGGAATTGGCAAACTTTTTCTGTAAAAAGAACCACATAGTAAATATTTTAGGTCTCTTTCATAACTACTCTGTTGCTGAGTGCAAAAAGCAGCTGTAGATAATACATCAATACATCTATGAATGAGTACAGCTGTGTTCCAACAAAACCTTCCTTACAAAAAGCAGTGGGCTGGCCAGATCTGGCCTGTGGTCTGTAGTTTGCTGACCCCTGGTCTAGGAGATGATCATCCTGACAGCTTCTCCCCAGTTCCCTCTGCTCTCCTTCACTGGTCTTCCTGAAGGATTTATTTCCACCGGATTTCCGAGGATTTAACAAACAGAGAAAATAGTCCTGAGGTAAGAGCAAATGGAAGATTGCTTTCAGCTAGGAAAGGCTCCCCGACCTCGGTGCTCAGTCCTTTCTGGTGTGTACAGCGTGCAGAAACGGTGGGGAAGAAACATCAAATGAAGGTGGGGAAAACGTGAAGAATGTTAAATCCAGAGAACAGAAGGTTCCAGCAAGGCACCAGGAGCAGTTAAGAGCACTTGCTCTTCAGTCAGATAATGATATTAATAGTAACAACAACGCAACACAGATAACATTATTGAACACTGACCCTGTACCAAACATTCCTCCAGGTGTTTTTCTAAGGATCCTATGTAGTGCTGGGTTTGCCTTCCAGCCGCGCCACCCTCTAGCGGTGTAACCCCGCCTCACCCCTCCGAGCCTTAGTTTCTCCATCCCCTAAAGGAGGGTGTGGAGTAACCTATCAAAAGCACTCAGCCCAGTGCCTGGCTCCCCCTAAGTGCTCAGGGAGAATTAAACCTTCGTTATTCCGATCTGTGCAGGAGCCAGGCTTGTTCTCTGTACCCCAGAGCTTAGCATCGAAGCCGGTTGATGGAACCCCTGGAACCTCCGCAAAGAGAGACTCCACCCCCAAGAGAAGCTTGCTGACCCAGCGCTACCAGGGTACAGAGCTCTGTGGGAAGGTCGTAGATTGTTGTGGGTTTTTGTTTTGTTGTTGTTGTTTTTTTAAGATTTTATTTATTTGTCAGAGAGAAAGAGAGCACAAGCAGGGGGAGCGGCAGGCAGAGGGAGAGGGAGAAGCAGGCTCGCCGCTGAGCAGGGAGCCCGA